CTTGGGTAGGAATCAGGTATGCTGTATTTGATGAAATAGTAAATAAGAAACTTCAGTAGTAGTGTTGGCATTGTTGCTGAACAGGATATTGAGGGTAATCAAAACCCAATCCTTATAATCCTTGTTTGTAACCACAAAGAAATCTTCAAATAGTTGATTTATCGCCAGATGATTCATTTAATGATTCTATAAGATTCAATTAGAGATATAGGCCAGCATTTGAGTTTACATATAAGTGACATTGATCTCTAATATCTTTGCATGGGAAAATAGGGCTGGATTAGGAAAGGATTATTATATGCCTGTTAAAGCACTGGATATTTAGCAGGGCATATGCAACCTTATTCTTAGTTCACCTAGGGTAGAATGTAATTTGTTTTGACTGGACACCAAATAAACAGAGCAAGGAAGAATAGTTCTTCCAAATGCTCTAGAAATGTAAATAGTATGGATGGCAAGCTCTGATAGGGAATTTGGGCTGGAATGTAGCCTGACCAGCCACATACCTACTCAGTGGGAAAACTGGAGTTTTAATAGTGTGATCCTCCAGCCCTATGCTCTTGCCATTTGAAACTGCTCTGTATTAAATCACCGTATCGTTTCCTTTAAAATTTTAGGATTTCTTTAGAGATCTCTCATTCCATATGCTGATTTGATCTAATTCTGGTTATGACAAGATATTCTATAGTTATACCCTAAAATGGTTCTAGATAAAAAGGAAAAAATTGCCAAGCATTGTGGCTCACACCTACAATTCCAGCATTTATGAGGCTGAGGAAGGAAGATTGCCATGAATTCTGGGCCAGGCTGAGCTACGAAGTTAATTCTAGTTAGTCCTGCCTGGCTACAGAGTAAGACTGTCTCAATAAGGCCCACAAAGACAAAAACTCATTTATAAATACTATATAATTATACAATGTAGTAATCCAATAGCAAGTGAGTTTACTAAGACTGTTTCTAAAGCAAATGTTTAAAAGAATCACTGCTTCCTATTTATTAAATTTTAAAGAAATGTAAATAATAAGAGAAAATCAATTTTTTTGGAAATACCAAGTTTCATTTATCTCACCTTTATGAATTTTGTTAGCTACACTTAAATTAGCAGAAAGAAGACCAAATATCCAACATGCCTAGATAATTGAGTCTATAGTAATAAGAATATTAATTAGAACCATTCAAGATGACTAGTTTTTATATAATCTTTGAGAGTAAAGGTTAGAAGCTGGATTACATCTGTGTATCTAACTCTCATATTTTAAAATGAAGTAACAGCCTGTCCTTCTGAAAGTAGAGCACTTGTCTGACAGCTCCATGACAGAGGAAAAATACAAACACACAATACAGCACTCAAAAGTTTCACCTTTATATGCTTATTGGATCTATAGACTTCAAGTTGCTTTGTTTGGTGTAATCTAATTGTTCTATGCATGATTTGCATACATTAAAATATTTAAATATATCGATTAATGCAACTATCACTTGATTCATGTGAACTCTCTATCAAGATATTTACTAGCAATAGAGCAAAGTAGCAAGGACTGCAAAAGGTTAAGTACAAAGGAGGGAGAAATAAAACAGAATGCAAAAGAACACTCCTGCTGAAAATCAAAATTAAACAAGTTGCTTGGTAGGGTTTATTTTATGTTATCATATGTCTGAGTTGAACTAATTTGTAAAGTTTTCTTATTCTAACCTATACTTGAGTCAAGAAATAAAATTGATTCCCATTGTTATAGTTAAGAAACCAAAAACAAGCAGGTGACTTGTTTGTAACCTAAAATATTGCTAAAATGATAACTGATAATAGTAACATTAGGTTTCCTCCACATGTTGACATTGGTTACTTGTAAGCTAGTTACCTAAGTTAACTAGTTATCAAATTGGAGACCAGTATTGTTAGAAATAAGGTACCTGATATTTATACTATTACTATGATTATTTTACCCATTAATCCCTTGTTATTTAATTTTTGTTATCATTGTTTTTATTATACCATTGAATAATTATGAAAACATAATTTATACAGTAAATGCCTTCTTGAAAACTATTTATGGAATACCATGATTGTGTTGGTGTTAAATTAACAATGAGAAAGCTAGGTGTGGAGGATCAGCTGGTCAAAGTAAGCCTTGGCTACACAGCAAATTTAAGGCTGTTCTGTTCTACATGAAAGCCTGTCTCTAAAACACCTAAGCCTCCAAGTCTCCCAAAACTGATGAAAAGTGAGCAGCAGTTCATAAATTATATGATAAATTTATCTTTTACTTTAAGAGGGGGACCAAGAGAGGATAAAGAAATATATGTCATGAAAGAAGATGAAGTATTTGTGGTAAGGAAGAGGACTTAGGAGATCTGGGGTCAAAAAAGAACAGAGTACAAATATAAATATACATAGATATGTACACATATATAATATACCTGCATATTTACATACATATATGAAAATGTTACAATGCAAACTCAATTTTGTGTGCTAATCAAAAATTATTTTAAAATTTGTATATGTATTTGCTGAGGAGTGAACCTACATATGCAAATGCTAACCATCTATTCTACTGCTGAGTTCCACTCTAGCCCAAAATAAGGTTCAAAAGGAAAATAAGAGAATGTGACTCTTTCATGCCTTATATTTTGTGAGAATGTACAGTAACACTGGTAAATACTTAGCAGTTCACATACTTTAGTGTTTTTATGGCTCGCACTATTTTTTAATCCCAAGAAAAAAAATTAAAAAGTAAAACATTCCTTTTCAAATCATATGTATTCTCAAGGAAGTCTGAAATGACAAGGAAACAAATATGAATTTGTCTACCTTAGTCTCTTCTAGCTCCTTTTTGACATGCGCTGACTAAAATATGATGCAAAATTCTTCAATTTAACTATAATTTATCTGATAGTTTTTTTGCATGTCTCTTAGATACCAAATAGTACTGGAGGCAGCTCTCATTTCAACAGGATACCTGTGATCATGGGATGCTCTTCCCCTCTTCTGTCTAACGTGTTGCTATGGTGCCCTTAAAATGGGGATAGTCTGAGGAACAGAATTTTAAAAATTAACAGTAGCCACATGATATTTTCAAGGCTTGTGTTCTAGGGGGAAGTGAAGAAAGAAGAAATTGGTAAGGTAATTAAAGTCGTTCTAAATGGTGAGGGCATTGAAATGGAAGGCATTAGTAAGCACTGTTCCATAGTGACAAGGAGAACCCTGGGACAAGAAAGGATGGTGAGGACCCTTCAGAATAAGAGTTGTCCTGGAAAAGGCTGTCCTCTGAGATGGTATTTGATCTGAGACTAAACACTCAGAAGACATCTATGTAGAGAACTGGAAGCACAACCTGGAATCCCAGTATTTAGAAGACTAAAACTTTGGGATCATTAGTTTCAAGGCCAGCCTGGGCTACGTGGCAAAACCTATCTTGATTGACTAATTAAAAATGACTAGGGATATGGCTCAGTGGAGACAGCCTAGCATGTATGCAGCCCTTTGATTTGTGGGGTCAATTGCTAGGAGAATGCTACCTGAAGGATGAAATGTGAGGGAAGTTTAGAAGGATGGAGGGGAAGGGAGGGAACAAGGGAGGAAGGGACAACTAACAAAAAATGTAGTTGCTGCTTTCATTGCAAAGGAGAGGAGGCTGGGAAGGTTGTGAGGAACCATCAGCAAGTCTGGAGTAAAGGGAGATGAGAAACCACTGAGGCTTTTAAAGCAAAATAATAACAGCATGAAATCAAAATAGTGTGATGCTGTGCCTTTAAAATCCACACTTAAATTCTTTCTGGGAAATAAATTCTAGCAGAGAGAGATGGAAGCAGAATCCTCAAGTGGGGAGCTCTGTCTGCTGTTGTTGGGGAGCTCTGTCTGCTGGCTGTTGGGGAGCTCTGCTGGCTGTTGGGGAGCTCTGTCTACTGTTGTTGGGGAGCTCTGTCAGCTGTTGAGGAGCTCTGTCTGCTGGCTGTTGTCTAGGTGAAACTAAAAGAGTTCCCAGTGTATCCCAGAGGTAAAAACCAACAAACTTGGTGAGAGAATTAGAACAATGAAATGGTTAATTTCTGAGTGTCCAGCATCTTGTTGTAAGATTGGATTTCTTAATAGTGTGATCATGTTGACACTTATTTAACTCTAATAACTGTTGCCTGTTGTTTTCCATGTAAACATACCACTTTCATAGATTTGTTTGATTTGTTAATGTTTGATAATTTAGAAAAATGCACCAACAAAAACCTATAAATGCTTGGTTTAAAAGAACACTTTATTTTGCCATATACTCCAAATAAGATTTATCATTCTAGAGTTCTGAACTGACTATGTGATGTCTGCTTTCTGATAAATTATTCCTAGCTCTCTCCTTAGGTGCAGTATGTATGGTTTATTGCATAGATTAAAACTGAGCAGAATTCCAGTACACATGTTCATAAGGAGCCGTACACATGGCTAGTCAATGTATACATGGAGTTTTGTGCCCCAGTCCCTAATGTCTTGGCATTGCTTTTATTATGTCTGGATGAAAGGCCACAATGCATTCTTTTACTATTGTAGCTTCAACCAGTTTTTCTTTTTTTAAAGAGCTTGCAATTACCATCATAAAGACTCCTTTCTGGAGAGCTTTCCATAGTGCATTATCATTCCACAAGTCTAATAATAGTGGAATATAAAGATTTTTAAAAGAAATTACTACAATATCTAAAAATGATTTTGAGAACTATAGCTAACTCTATAATGAGAAACACTAAAAGTCTGGATGAAGAGAAACAAAGAAAAACTGCCAAAGTCAGGGCTTTTAGAACTGGTACACGTTGGAGACTATAAATCTGGCCAACAAAAGATACTTTGCAAATCATATGCACCTTTACATTGTCTAAACATAGCTGAAAACCTGTTCTCTGCTTTTGAGAATGCTAATGCTTAGAACTGGTCATTACCTGGCTTTTATGATGGTTTATGGACTTCTGTCTTATATCTGCCTAAAAGCTAATTCTGTGTTTTCTGTGCCATCTTACAGTGGTGTTATCAAGGAGATTGTGTTCCTTTTGGCACTTGGCCCCAGAGCATAGATGGGGGCTGGGGCTCCTGGTCACTATGGGGAGGATGCAGCAGGACTTGCGGGGGAGGCGTCTCTTCTTCCCTAAGACACTGTGACAGTCCAGCGTAAGTAGCTAAAGTAAGCCGGAGCCAACAAAAAGACACAGTTGGAAATGATTCAAAGCTGTGGTTTCACATGTTATCTGTAAAAATGTTTCTCTAGCAAGCCAAGTGCTTGTCTTCAGAAGAAGCAAGAGGTCCAGGAAAGTGGAGGAGCTTTGTTAGACAGACTTTCTTTTCTTCATTTCCCCTTATTGTGTAAGTAAAAATTTAAAAAAAGAAAATGAAAGAGAAAAATCTCAAGCCTTTAAAATAGAAAAGTGCTGTCTGTCTAGATAAGCTAGTAATAATTAGATTTCCTCCTCTAAGACTGCTGAATTATGGATGAATCCAGGCATGGTTTTTGCTACATTACCATTATTCCCTGAAAAAGAAGGGCTTTTCACATGTCGCGGAAAATGATTACTGCCACACTACTATTAAAAGGACCGATGAGAGCGCTTCGGGTTGAAATGCCTCAGTTTGCATCACAAATCACAAAGAAGACAGTGCTGCTATGTGTTAAAGTGGTTTCCATTCACATGCTCCTGTCATCTCCCAGGACTGTTGATGCAGGCCAGCCCACTCCTCTCCTACCACTCTCCAGCCAGAGTCCCTACAGAGCAAGGCCAGCCAAGTCTCTTTCCTCTCCATCCTACAAATGTACAGGTGGACTGTTGTTCTAGTTTACTTTTGGCCTAAGATCCACCTGCTTCTTGGCTGCTGCCTGCTTCCTACCCATTATGTCTAGACCCGAGGTTGAGGACCCTTTTTTTGCTGACTAGTCTTTGGCGAAGAACGATGTTTATGATATCTCTAATCACCCCACCTCCCCCAATCTGGATAAAGGATGGTCTAGTGTAGTTTGTTATTTGTTCTCATTTTAACCCAGGACTCTTAGCTTTCTTCAAATGCCTCATTTCTATTTCTTTTATCTAAAAATATTTTCTTCATAATAGTCCTGAATTCATCTTCCCACTTTGCCCTCCCACCAAACAGAGATTCCTGTTATAATTCATTAACTAGTTATGACTGCCACCATCCCCACAACCTTGTTTTGGTTTCACAAACCTTTTCTCCCAAGATGGTTCAAGCTGATCAATCTGCTGGTCTTCAAAACATATTCCAAATTTACTGATATTAGTGGACCTGATTCCTTTTTAAGCAAGTGCATGAATAATTATGCTAAATTTAACATAGGCTGCTATAAACTAGTATCCCAAAATATGAAGCCTTATGATCAATTAACAGACTCAGATATGTAAGGGAATGACCTTGGACATCTTCTAAGAGGAAGATGTTTTTCACTCAATAATAGTATGTCTGAATGATGGCATATGTTTTTTCCTTAATTCTAAATACTTTAAAGATTAATTTATGAGAGCAAATGCTTGACATTGTACTTTCATTAATTTGGAAATAACAATACAAAGCCATCTCTTTTACCATCTTCCTTTTTAATTTCATGTTTTTAACTTTGTGTTGAAATGAAAATGCATTTTGTGTATTTACGCTGAATTGGATCCATTCCCAGGAAGTCATTGTTATCTCTTTGGTTCCCACCTGGAAGAAAAGATTATAGTTTGTGTTGAATATAATTTAAATGGCTTTTTATTATAGATATGGTTTTTTAAATTATTTATTGAATGTAGTTCTATGCTATGATAATTAAAAATACTAATTTATTTATATTTTCCTGAGACTAGTCTTATAAATTATTTATATGCTGCCATTTTATGTTGAATAACCATACTCATTATTAATTATCATTATTTTAATAATTGATAAAATGCCACAATTAATTTCTTTTTAAAGCAATTTTTGATGTTTTTGTCAAGAAACATATGTAGTCTTAGTGTGATAGATACATTCTAATCACATGTTAAACAAATGTTGTTTCCCAGACCGTCAGGTGGTGGAAAATATTGCCTTGGAGAAAGGAAACGATATCGCTCTTGCAACACAGATGTAAGTAAACCCAAAGTTTGCTATGAATAATTAGCTTACTCGTGTCCTAGGCAGGGAAAGCTTTGAACTTTATGCCCTTTAATCAGAAATCCATGTGTTTAAGGGTCACATGAATTCCCTATAAAGCTAGTCTTAGCACTGTCGTCAATCCCATCAGTAGGCCACGAAGGAAGCTGCAGAAGGGGACAGGTGTCTTCTCCCCAGTGGGAACACCCACACATGCCCTGAATAACCTGGCCTCAACTCCATTCTCTCTGTCACTATGTGTCTTGAGTCCACAAGGCTCAGTCTTACTATGCCCTTCATCATGTTTTCTGTTCCTCACAGTGAGAAGCCTCAGACTCATACATCATCCCTCATCCCTTGGCATCCAGTCCCTCAAGACTCAGCATTATAGTCCTGAATCATGTCCCTGCCACTGGCAACTATGAAAATATTTCTGTGCCCTCAGGAATTCATGATCCATTATCAGCAGAATTTCACTGTTTGACTTCTCTGAATTTCCCTTGTTTTTACTGTGTTAGTTGCATCTCTGTTGCTGTGATGGAACACTCAGAAAAATGATCCTAGGGGGAAAAGTTTTAGTTTACAGCTCCAGAACTGGGACAGCCTGTCTTGGAGAGGAAAACATGGTAGCAGAGCATGAGGCCTGTTCCTTGTGTTTGTACTGGCAAGGTAGAGGCAGAAAGAGAACTGGGTGTTGGGCCGTGTTACAAACCTTCAAAGCCCGCCCCCAAGGAAATACTAGTCCTGAAGCAACACTCCACCTCTTACAGGTTCCGTAATCTTCCCTAATAGTACCTCCAGCTAGAGACCAAGTGTCCAAACACAATCCTCTGGGAGACATTCCATTTAAAAACAACACTTCCCTTCTTGGTTTAATGGAAACCATCCCTCCTTCAAATCCACTCTTTCCTCTGTAGTTCTCAAACTGAGAGCGTCTTGCTTTTCCCCTTGGTCATTGTGGTCATTGTGGACTGGCTCTGGTATTAGATTGACTCTCCTTCTTTGGTTATTTTGTCAGAATCACTCTCTCCCTCCTGTGTAAAACACAGTATTTTATTTTGTAACACTGGAATATTAACAAACTAGCTTCATTCATGTCTTCCAGTCTACTCCTGCCTTAATTCCTTATCAATTCATAAGTGTGTAGATGATTGTCCCTACGTGTCCTCTTCTGGATTTTTCCGTAAGCATACATAACCTCTTTCTGTCTAAAAACAAACAAAAAGCCCTTGCCAGATATTTCAGCCACTTCTTTGCTGCCCTTGGAAAGAAATTCCCCCAAAGGCTTATCTATGTGCACTGAGCTGAGTTCAGAGCTTCATTTTTCCCCCCTGAACTTGCTCTTATGTTTTACTTCCACAGTAACATTGACATGCTCTGACCCAGTCACAGATCCTCCAGCATTTGCTAAACCCAGTGGTTGGTTGTAGTCTTCATCTTCCCACCCAATCACAATATTTGTCTATTCTATTTTATTAGCATTTCTCCTTGTCCTCCTTTGATGGTTCCTGCTCTTTTCTTTGATTTCCTAATGTTAAATTACCCAAGTCTTTGCCCTTGATTCTTTTTCTGTTCTACCAATCCTCATTTTATTTCTGATCTCATCCACTTTCAGTGATTTTGATACTATTATATATAGTTCAGATTCCAAATTTATATGTTTTAGCACAGTTGCTATCTAGTATTTAGTGTATATTAATGCTCTCTGTCAGTCAGTGGGTTTTTTTTTTTTTAACCTCAGATGCCAGTGCCATTGATGAAGTCAAAATTCTAGAGTGTTTGTTTGTCCCCAGCTTTTTCTGTCTCACTGTCTGTACACATCTCATCCCTCAAGAAATTCTGTTGTAATTTGCCTTATAAATACCTCTGGACCAGGCTGGACAGTGGTGGTGCATGGATTTAATTCCAGCACTCAGGAGGCAGAGGCTGGCGGATCTCTGTGAGTTCTAGTCCAGCCTGGTTTACAGAGCAAGTTCCAGGACAGACTCCAAAGCTACAGAAAAACCCTGTCTCCAAAAACCAAAAACCAACCAACCAAACAAGCAAACCCCCTCAGATTTGACACCTTTCACTACTTCTGCCACCCCTGCTCCGGCCTGAGTCCCTGCTGTCTACAGCGGTCAACTGAATAGACTTTGACTTTTATTTTTTGAGGTGCTTGTTACTGAGCCCAGGGCCTTGCACACACTCTACCACTGAGCGTCACCATCCACTCTTTGGTAGCCTCATGTGTTACTTTGCCACCACCAAACACACTCTTCAGTTCCCAGTGTAGGGGGCAGAGTAAGTCGGATTAGTTTTACTCTTTATCACCTTACACCCATTTTTCCTAAGTATGAAATTATTACAAAAGCTAGCAAGAGCTCTACATTGTGACTTCAGTTGCTTCTTTGAACTGATCTTTAGCGGCTTTTTCACCCTTTGCTCCGACTCTGTGGGTCTCCTTACTTAAGCATGCCACTAATGTTCTCTCCTTAGGACTTCTGTTTTGACAGCTCCCTTTGCCTTGTGCGCTTATAGCTCTCCTTCATCTTCACTCAACTGTTTCCTTCTCAATTATGCCTATCCTGAATACTGTACTTAAAATTGTAAGCATCGCTGCTCCTCTATTTTTCTCTCCTTTTAATACACCCACTTATCATATTTTATTCTGCTAAACAGATCTCAGAGTAATTACATGTATCTTCATTATAAGACTGTAGTGCAAACCCAGGGACAGATATTGGGGTTCAAGTTGAAGATCAGAAAAGCAGAGCAGCCAAGTCACTATGGAGTTCTTACCTCTACCAAGGCTCAGACCAAAGGGGTGGGGTGGGGGGCCCTGTCCTCAGAGTGACTGCGGACTGCAATGTTCTTCACCAAACCTCAGACTGCCCTATGTTCCTCTCTAGTGCTGGGATTAAAGGCATGTACCACCACCGCCCAGCTTCTATGGCTAATTAGTGTGGCTGCTGGGATTTAAAGTGTATGCTACCACTTCCTGGCCTCTATGGCTGACTAGTGTGGCTAGCTTTGCATTCTGATCTTCAGGAAAGCTTTATTTGTTAGATCATAAACAAAATATCACAGCATAAGACGTTTCATGTTACTAGCACTATTTAGTCCCTTAAATTGACTGCCTGATATATATGTTCAAAAAACTGCTTAAATGCAAGAGGTCACAACAGAGAATAATAACAATACACTGACAAAAGTCATATGTTATAAAAGTATGTGGAATTGGCACATAGCTCATTAGGAATTTAAGGTTTCGTCTCCACAGAGAGACCTGAAAGGCAAAGACAGTTGGCCAGAGAATAACTAGTCGTGATAAAAGCATTCTCGGTAAAAGCAGGATGAAGTGCAAGGTCAGTTTGTATTTAGTTACTATTTAGAAGCCACTGAAAGAGGTATAGAGTTTGGTTTCGGATATGAGCAGGTTGGAGAAAGACAAGGGTAAATCATAGCTCAAGGAATTTAATGACTAAAGTGCTGAGACAGAGGCTCTCTACAAGGACTGAAAGCCTAATCTAAAGAGGGCTATTGGGGAGAAAATTGGAAACTGACTTTTAAAAAGCCATAAAAGTAAAACCAAAACCCAAATCAAAACAAAATAAGATGAGTATAATAGGAAAAGTAGAGTGAGTTGGGTAGAAGTTGAGATCAGAAAGAAATGTATTTGAATTGATGACGTAACAAAGTGAGCACATTCTCAGTGATGACAAGTTTAGAGGTGGTGAGAAGAGGGCATTCCCAAACGAGTGGAGACAGAGCAGTGGGAAGAACTTCACAGCTATTAAGACTGATGTGAATGTCGAAGACACTCGGGATGACACCAGAACCTGGTGTATAGGGTGAGACTCTCTCAATTCTCATATGCCTCAATCTCTCATTTGTTAACTGATTTAGATTAATGACACCAACATCAGTAGAATAGAGATTTTATACAAGGATAGACGTGAAGACCTGCCATTGTGTCAGACAACAGGCAGGAGTATAAAACTCAAACCCATTTCCCAGTTCACTACTGCTTCTAATATCATATAATTGAAGGAGTGAATATACAATAGTATAGGCATTGTTCAGTATGAGTACTGTATGTTAGGAAACAGAACATGAAAAAAATGACAGACATCATTGTCTGTACTCATGACTGATTTAGAAGCTCAAACTATAGAATGTAGTATTGGTATGCTGGCATTTCTATTACTGTTTTTTCCTTTTATTTTGACTTTTATTGAATCATGGTGCATACATAATTAATCATGTTTCTTTATTAGTACTGGCCCTACCAATTCAGAACTTGAAGTAATCGAGTTACCATACTAAACTTTTTTTCTATTTATTAAAATGAATAGACTTGTCTGGAAATAACTTGTGGCAGGGACTAACTTTAAGCTCACGGACCCTAGTCTGACAGCTGGGGAACCAGCATAGGACTAAACCAGCCCCCTGAATGTGGGTGTCAGTTAGGAGGACTAGGCAGTCTATAGGGCCTTTGACGGTGGAGTATTTATCCTAGTGCATGAATGGACTTTGGGGGCCCATTCCCTATGGAGGGATATTTTTTCAGCCTAGATACACTGGGGAGTGCCTAGGCCCTGCTCCAAAAGATGTTACAGACTTTGATGATCCCTCCTGGAAGGCCTCACCCTCCCTAGGGAGTGGATGGGGAGTGGAATGGAGGGGGTCAGTGGGCAGCATGGGAGGGAGAGGGAACTGGGATTGATATGTAAAATAAGATTGTTTCTAATTTAAATAAAATGTATAAAAATATTTAAAGTTTCTAGAATATATAATATTGACCAGAAGTTTCTAAAAGAACTTGATTCAAGTTCTGAAAATGCCTCATATATCTACTGTCAAGCATGGGAGCCACTGACACTAACCCAGTTAACTAATGAGATTTGATGTGCAATGCGGCAGGGTAACAGAAGAACAGAAACTTCTGCTTAAATTTGAACAGTCATATATGACTAGTGACAGCCATGTTGGTCCATACAGAGCTGGCATTT